AAAACTCTGAAAGATCCAGCTACTTCTTATATTAGAGACTTTTTTGTTCTAAAGTTCCCAACAGAGCTTCAGGTTTCCGTCCGTGAGCAGACACTTGGTCTATCTTTAAGGCGTCAGTATTTCCTTTAAGATCTATTTTCTAGTTCGGGTTAGTTTGAGTTATCCTGGCTCACCACATCTGTTGAATTTCCTCTCGATGTATGTATGGGTTGCTGCTTTCATTGACTTTGTTCTCTTTTACAGGAGACGGCCACCCCTGTAGGGTTGTGTTGGCTGCAATATCGCGTAGACATCGGGGGGGCAGCTACCCTGGATTGACAGACAGGGGTGGTGACCCTCTATTTAAAAAGGGGGACCGCACTCCTGAGCCTCACTGGTAAGGTCTATTCGTCCAATGGATTCTCGAACCTCAGATTCAGAAGGAACAATACGGTTTTCGTCCTGGCCGTGGAACACTGGACCAGCTCCAGACCCCTGGAGGGTGCGTGGGAGTTCGCCCAACCAATCTACGTGTGCTTTGTTATTTTGGAGAAGGCATTCGACCGCATCCCTTGGGAGGCCCTGTGGGGGGTACTTCAGGAGTGTGGGGTACCAGGCCCTCTGATACGGGCTGTTAGGTCCATAACCTTTATGGACAGGATGTCTAAGTGCAGCCAAGACATTGAGGGGATCCGGTTTGGTGGCCTAAGAATTGAGTCTCTTGCTTTTTGCAGATGCTGTGGTCCTGTTGGCTTCATAAGAACATGATCTCTGGCTCTCACTCGAGCGATTCAAAGCCTAGTGTGAAGTAGCTGAGATGAGAATCGGCTCCTCTAAATCCGAGACCATGGTCTCGAGTCGGAAAAGGGTAGAGTGCCTTCTCCGGGTCAGGGATGAAGTCCTGCCTCAAGTGCAGGAGTTTAAGTAGGGTTAGGGTTCATGAGTGAGGGAAAACTGGAGCGTGAGATCGATAGTCGGATTGGTGCTGCATCTGCAGTGATGCGGGCGTTGTTCCGATCTGTCGTGGTGAAGAGAGAGCTGATCCAGAAAGCAAAGCTCTTGATTTGCCAGTCGATCTATGTTCATATCCTCACCTATGGTCATGAGCTTTGGGTAGCTACCGAGAGAATGAGATCACGGACAAAATGAGTTTTCTCTGCAGGGTGGCGGGGCTCTCCCTTAGAGAGAGGGTGAGAAGCTCAGTCATCCAGCGGGAGCTCGGGGTACACCAGCTGCTCCTCAACATTGAGAGGAACCAGTTGAGGTGGCTCGGGCATCTGGTCAGGATGCCACCTGAACGAGACCTGGTGAGGTTTTCCGGGCACGTGCAACCAGGAGGAGACCTAAAGGAAGACACTGGATATGCTGAAGGAACCAAGTCTCACGGCTGGCCAGGAATTTGCCTTGGGGTTCCCCAAAGGAGTTGGCATAAGTGGCTGGGGAGAGGATGGTCTGGGCCTCACTGCTTGCACCCGCGGCCCGACCCCGGATGAGTGGCCGAAATTGTTGGATGGACCATCGCTGTCTCTCGGTGTTTGTCCCCGTCTCTCCCCTGTCCTCTCAGACTCAAGTCGGCCAGGCAGAAGGCAGCCTGTCTTGAACCCAGTTCTGTTTCTGCTGGACCTGATAGGATTTAGATCTGTTGCGGCACTTTGAGATGACTTCTGCTGTGAAGTGGTGATTTATAAATAAACTGTGTTACATTTTATTAACATGAAGATCTTGTTACTGAGTCAAGAAGACAAAACAGTTTAGCTATGACTTCTACAAACAATTGTAAATTAATTATCTGCTGCAACGCCACATCAACACTCACCTCGGCTCTTCATCTTTTGAACGCTTTGGACAATATTTCTTTACTAAGTTCCTAAATGAGGAAAAAAGAAGAGTTAGAGGCTTGAGATGCCGTCTGATATTGTAAAACTATGGAGACGACACACACACACACACACACACACAAACGCACGAGCATACACGCACGCACACACTAAACAACACACCTACTGTACACAGGCTACATCAGCATACTTTAGAATTTAATTAAGGAAGAATCAAAGACACTGAACATCAAAGCTGTCTGCCCCTTTCCCCCAGGCTCTGAAAATACACTCAGCAACACAGTGAATTATATGAATTAATTCACTGGAGAGTGCGTGAGTGCGTGCGTGCGTGCGTGTGTGTGTGTGTGTGTGTGTGTGTGTGTGTGTAACATGCACAAAATTCCACATGAATATGTTTTGATATTTTTTAACTGTCTCTAGACCTCAACCTTCATTGCTTCTCCAGTGACTCTATGTTGTATATTCAGTAGAGTTACACTTTGAAATTACCAACCAGTGGGACTAAACTGGTTTTATTCAATTTACTGGTTTTGTGTGTTTTTTTAGCTGTGGAACCAACTGCATGTAATAAAAATATTAATTAATATTAATATTAATTAATATTTATTTACAGCATCTTCAGGTTGTTGTTGCTAACTGATGATGACATTAATCTACATTTTACCTTTCTGGGAATGTTAAAAAAATTCACGGCAAGCTCCTCTGTTTGATTCTGCAATGTCGTTTTAACAGCATTGTATTCACCCTCCCACTGTCTTTATGGGTGACCCCACGAGGAAGGTTGACCATTGAGCAGGGTTGATGGTTTATCGCTTGGGTCCATGTGGCAGGGGTGAGGTGGTGCTCAGTCACTCCTCACCCCTGCCACATGGACCCAAGCGAAAAACCATCAACCTTGCTCAATGGTCAACTTTTCTCGCAGGGTCACACCCATTAGGGCAGTGGGAGGGTTACACTCATTAAAAACTGCTTCTTTCATCTCCAGAACATCTCTAAATGAAACCTAGGGATGCTCGATATTGTTTTTTTTTTTTGTCGATTTTTTGATACTGTCTAACTCTTAATTTCCGATACAGATATTTTGCTTTATACATTTGTGCCTTTGTAAGTATCCCTTTATTCAGGGAATGTTTGGGCGTGTGGTAATGTTACTCAATTGATAAAATCTAAGCAGCGTGATCGTACTCATGCTAAGCTAGGCTAAACGCTAAGCATGCTGATTAGTCAGTAATGTATTTTTTCTGTTTCTGTATATTGCAGCTACAGTAATAAAACATTTATAAAGATCTTCCATTAACAAAAGAAAGCATTGGGAGATGATTCTTGTGCTTGCTTTAGTGGTTTGCTAGCTGCTAGCAGCACATAGCTACATGCTGCTAGGGACAGCAGATCCTCACTACACAGAGCTAATTCCTAATTACTCACAAGTTGTGCCAAATAAAACTAAAGTATCTCAAAAACTGAAACTCACATCTGTCATCTTTTGAGTGACAGCTGAGGAGTTGGATTTATAATATATGCATGGTTTGTAAAAGTTGAATCATTTAAGGAGTAAAAACCGGTAGATTTTCTCCAATATTACATTTTAATGCCAACATCGAATAATAATATCGGACATTCATGCTTTTGTTTCATTGCGCCTGGACTACTGTAAGTCTTTCAGCTGGACTAAATTTCAATCAGCAAAAACGCTTAAAACTAGTGCAAAATTCTGCTGCACGACTGTTACGTTACTCCTGTCCTGGCCTCACTCCACTGGCTTCCTGTGAATTTTAGAGTCTACTTTAAAAGTCCTATTTTTAACTTTTAAAGCCTTATATGATCAAGCACCCTCATATATAACTGATTTGGTGCAAAATCTACATTTCTGAATATTGCCCGAGATCAGTAGGTTAGATGCTCCTGTTGGGCCCAAAAACCCAACTAAAGTCCTGTGATGCAAGCTCCTTGTTTAATTGTTCATTTGTGTTTATGTTCTTGTGTTATATTCTGTTTTATGTGAAGCATCTTGTGGTTTTTATATGTTGAAAGTGCTATACAAATAAAGATGACTTAAAGTGCTTCCCGTAATTATTCATAACCCTGACTCAGTTACTTTTATGCAACCAGCAACCAGAAATGACATAGGCATTTCCCAAAAGATGTACAACAGGCATTATTGTGCCCAAGAAATTTCTTAGCTTTTATTTACATTTGAGCAAAAGGTGTCATGTCCAAGATTGTTCATATCCTTCAGCATCTTAATTACCCAGATTTATTGGGAACAGCTGTTTTATTCAACTCAACAGGTGAAAAACAGCTGACATGACACGTTTTATTCAAATGTAAATAAAAGCTGAGACATGTTTTTTGGCACAACAATGCCTCTTGTACATCGTCTTATTATCTGCTAGGAGACACCCATGTCATTTCCCATCAAAAAACAACTTGCTGGTTGAATAAAAGTTACTTTAGGTCAAAATTTGCCAAGGGGTATGAATAAAAGCTGAGTTCAACGTGTCACATGTTCAGAATATCAAAATCCAGCTTCAAAACCAACTGCAGCATGATCGGATTACGGTTCCGCAACCTATTTCCAAAGCTAATTTACACAAATGGAAGTTTATTTATAAAGAAGATTTATTACCAAGGTTGCCAAGTGCAACAATGCAGTCACTGAAAGGAACCCAAATAAATGACTGACTCAATGATCAACTTTTTTACAACAACAGTGGAATCCAACCCTGGTCCTTCAGGGCCCCTATCCAGCATGTTTCAATAGTTTCTCTGCTTCAACACACCTGCTTGTAATCAGCAGCAGTGTAACAGATTTCTACAAAACTTGGTGACAAACTGAAAATATGATTCTGTGTGTTGGAGCAAGGAAACGACTAAAACATGCTGAGCAGGTGTCCTTGACAACCGGAGTTAGACACCATGTCACTACAGCAAAGACCAGATGTGGTCTTTAGAAAGTTCTGAGATGAAGAACCAAAAAAAGAGTTTCCAGCAAACATTTGTTCTACTGATAGATTAGTGTCTCTAGCTGCGTTTTAAAAAGTTGTTTATGTGTGAATAATTGTACCGTAGCTGCTTGGCGTAGTTCTGCTCAATGTCCAGCCGCTCCTTGACAAACTTTGAATAGCGCTCAAGAAAGTCAATCCCCCACTGGGTGTGTTTTTCCAGATTATCAAACTGGTCCTGAAAAATGAAAAAGAGAGAAAAGAAAACACAGACGTTAGGTGAATAAAAGCACAAATGTTATCAAAAACAGATAATCTATTGTAGTTAAGGCAGTTCTTTTCTCAACCCTTCAGAGTTTGAGATAATGGAGTTAATCCAAAGGAGATTAAATGGATACCAGTCCCCCCCAAATAAAAAACACAAGCATCACTGAAGGTTGCTTATTTGTTCTTACCATATCCATTTATATGCATATTGAATTTTAATCAGGAAGTTCAAGTGTCCCGGTTGTACGATGATGTCATTTGCCAAAATGAAACCAGCTTTCACATGAGGAGCAACGTTGGACCTCGACAACATCTGTTATTCTATGAAAAATTCTCTTTCATTAATAATCAAACTGGCCAAATCATTAATCAGGAGTTTTGCCACTTAAGAGTTGTGACACCATCAAGAAAGACGATGAAAGGAAGATTAAAGCTTCAGAATTGTCGACATTTGCAGCTTTTTACTGTGTGGGCGTCGGAACGAGCCCCCGCACTGTGAGAACAAACATCTCAGCTCTAAAGCCGATCTTCATCCGCGTACGTCACACGTCACGTGATCAGGAAGCAGAAAATCCATGTGTTAGGAGATCGTTTTGGGCTGCTGCTGGGAAAAAAGAAGTTCTGCCGATCACAATTCGACAACAGATTATGAAAGAACGGATAAAGCTCAAAACACGAGTCTACTCTTTGTTTTGGTAGTTTTGGGGTTGACATCATCCTAGCGCGCAACGTTCTGTGGCTCTTAAAAAAACAGTGAAAACCCAAAATGAGAACATTTTCTATGTTATTTGCTAATATTTTTGTCACAGTAAATCAAAACTAAAAGTTATAGCCCACCTCCCACTGCCGAATCTCTCGTTTTGATGTATAATTTGTCAGGGTGTACGCTGCCGTTCGAGCCGCGAAGGAATAATAATAAAGAACAAATCCTCTGGTGCATACAAATGTAGGCCCTGTCCCTTAATTATAAAGGGGGACTTACAGGTTGTTGGGTTTTCTCAAATTTCCAATAACTGTAGCAGAGGAATTAAGTGCTTGTGTCATCATTAAAATCAGAATGCTGCTTTTTTTTCCTAATTGCACAAGAGCGCATTTTCAGAGCGGCAGATTAAATTTCCAAAGCATCCAATTAATATAGTGTTCGTAAATTTCATCTGCCGCTCGAAAAATACGCTCTGTTAGAAAAAAAAGCTGCATTGAATGCTGTTTTTCTTACTTTTTTCTTTTTCTTTTTTACTGCAGAACGCTTCTCACAGATAATTAGAATGCTGAGCATTCTATCACGCTAAAACATTATGAAAGGTTAAAAAAAAAAAAAAAAAAAAGATGGGCTCGGGTCGGGCCAGAGAATCCTGAAAACCTTTTCGGACTGGGTCGGGCTGGGGCTCCACCCCCTCGGGCCGGGCTGGACACGGGCTCAGATTTTAGGCCCGTGCAGGGCTCTACCATAGACACAATCTCTGTCACACTGCTGCATCTTTCCGATCTTTACTTCATCCATTTCAGCATGACTCTACAAGGGAGGTCCACTGCTTCCTCCCCAATGGTCTCATTCCACCGCAACCTGGCACCCAACCACTTCTCCTCTCTTGTTGCCTCCTCTCTTCCATCTCCCAGCACATTCTCTGCTTATGAAGTGAATGATGCCACCGAGTCACTCTGCTCTTGTCTTAACAACTTGTGCAACTTCTCCAACTCAACCTCTCTAAAACTGATCTACTTGTCATCCCAGCAAAACCATCCATACAGCATAATATCTCAATCCAAAATGACTTCCCATCTCTGGCTCCTTCAAAGTAGTTCGAAATCTGGGTGTTGTGATTGATGAACACCTGACCTTTAAAGATCATGTTGCCTCTGTTGCTCGTTCATGCCGCTTTGCGCTGTATAACATACGAAAGACCAGACCATACCTAACACAACATGCCACCCAGCTCCTGGTGCAATCTGCTGTCATCTCCCGCCTCGATTACTGCAACGCCTTTCTAACTGGTCTTCCAGGCTGTACTGCGAGACCTCTTCAAATGGTCCAGAACGCAGCGGCGCGTCTGGTCTTCAATCAGCCAAAAAGAGCACACGTCACCCCTCTGTTCATTGAGCTCCACTGGCTACCGCTAGCAGCACTGGAAATTGGTTGTTGTTGTTGTTGTTGTTACTGTTGTTGTTAGCCTCAAGGGCAACATGCCGATTATCCCTTGTAAGTCGCTTTGGACAAAAGCGTCGGCTAAATACATAAACACATAAACATCAGCTGCCATGCATCCAACTATGGTCAATACAACTCCATCAGCCAGACCAATGTATCAGTTCAGCTCCCATCTGATTGCTAAAGGATAAAAAGAAATAAACAAATAAAATTCTGATTAAATGAAACAAAAATAGAACACGGGGACTCCGTTAATTTAAAACCTCCAGTGAAAAACTCTAATAAAAAAAATATTTTATCCTAATTTATTCAGCCAATTTGCTAATGGGCAGGGAGCTAATTTGCAGGGTGTCGCGCGTTATCATTATGAAGTCCTTTGGGGTTTATTTTGGGTTTATTCCTGCACCTTGCCCATCCTGATGCCTACAGGCTCCTGTCTCGCTAGCCTCTGAAGTCAGTCTCTGGAGTTTGTGTGTTTATTCACCTCTTTTAGCATCATTTCTGTGATTGCGTCAGCCTGTGTGACAGCGTCTATGAATGAGTAATGGAGTATGAGCTCACTCTGTAGTTTGTGGCAAGCTGAGCAGACTGGCTCACTTGGGAAATGACAACATCTTTAGGTTCCTGTTCTCTCAGTTTCCAAGGATAAAAATGTCAACTGAATATTAGCTGCCTAAATATGGAAGCTATCACTTAGTCTGTGCACTACCCAACATGCTGCACTACATTTATAAAAGACTCTTCTCTTTGTACACACAAGCTGGTTATAATTAAGATCCACACCAACTTACATGACCGTCATACTGTTTTACTTTAGGTGCAGAATGAGACGGTTTCCTGTAATCAAACAGGGAAAATGCTCTTTTGGAAAGCTTTGATTAAACAATACCGACACAATACTTACTATACTTTGTAGTTTTTTTCCATTATTCACCCTTAAAAACCACTGAAAAACACAACTTAAAAGCCACAGTCAATATAAAAAAGCCAATGTAACCTATTAGCTAGAGTAGCATGTAGCATTTTTTGTAGAGGTTAGTTCTGACTGAAGACTTTTTATTTTTGAGATTCAACCCCTCAAGTGAACAGATTTTACTAAGTAAACATTATTTTCTGTTCAACCGGATAACCAATCAGAAGGTCGGACGGCAAAGCCAAAAGCCCTTCAAAGCGCCAGACAGTCTGGAAGCGATCCAGATGAAAAGGAAACATTAATGAGCACAAAAAAACGCTGCTGAGACAATAGACTTATCACACACTGTGGTCTTCAAGAGCAGAGCGCATGCTTCCACTCGCACGCTGGTGCACACAGGGCAGAGGCAGGGTGGAAAATGTCAAGTTGTCTGAAACACTGGCATCACACTACAAACCCCCAGGCTCTGTCTGCTCTGTGTGTGTGTGTGTGTGTGTGTGTGTGTGTGTGTGTGTGTGTGTGTGTGTGTGTGTGTGTGTGTGTGTGTGTACTGTGTGTACTGTGTGTGTGTGTGTGTACTGTGTGTGTGTGTGTGTGTGTGTGTGTGTGTGTGTGTGTGTGTGTGTGTGTGTGTGTGTGTGTGTGTGTGTGTGTCTATTTCACCTTTCACAAAAGAGAAAAACAACCCCCAACACAGAGAAAATACTAGTTTTTATTCCAAGAATGTGATGGTAGGGAGCTGAGGCGGGATTTGTGTTTTTGTGCGCTGGAATCTGAAAGGGGAGTGTGAGGTAAGGCAGAGAGAGTGGAGGGAGATTCAAGGATTGGAGGTAGACGAGGAGAACAGGCCAACATCTGTGTGTGCCGTTGCTTTTTAAAATAACTGTATTGCAAATATCCAGCGTGACTGTTAGGACCTTCAGTGTGTTCTGAATATTCGTTTTCACTTTCATCTGAGCATTTAGTTAACCAAATTCCCAGAAATTTGATTTCATTTTTGACAGGTATATTATACAAAGAAGAGTAAGAACAACTATGAATACTCATAAGTTCACATTTGTCCAGGTTAAGGTACAGGCCAGAAGCATCAGAGAAGGTCCTTATTGTTTTTAAAGCCAATGGAATTTGTTCTTTATCCTTTAGAAAAAGTGTCGTATCGTCAGCTAGTTGGCTAATGATTAATCTGTGATTATGTATATCTATACACTTAATATTTGAATTAATAACAGTAATAGTAAGTAGTTCAGTAGCTACAATGAACAGAAGAGGTGAGATGCTACAACAGTGCCTGATGCTCCTTTCCACCCCGAACCTGGGGTAATCAAATACTTGGTTATTGTCTTAGTTGATATTACCTTGAGCAGTCTATTACATTCAGTGATTCTGTATGATCATTAGTTATAGAAATATAATAATAAATTGACTTTTACAAACTATATTTTTGCTTCAGTGTCAAATTATTAATACGTGTTGGTTCCCTGGCATACCCAAATTATCCATTTCCAGAGAAGAAGAAAGAAGAAGAAAATATCATTTCTATAGCGCCTCCCAAGATAAGACACTAGTCAGTGACTTGATGCAATTTGCTGGGTTCCTTATATAGGAAACTTTTTTCTGATTGGCTTAATGAACTGACCTGTATTGGAATGTTTATTATGTGAAGTGCCTTGAGACGACGTTTGTCATGATTTGGCGCTATATAAATAAACTTGAATTGAATTGAATTGAAGTGACTGTCAGGGAGATTATTTGTTGACCCCAAAACAGATCGCTGAGAATCAAGTGAATTCAGGATGCTTCTGTTGACAATGTGAATGATAAAACACAGAAGTTCAAGTATTAAAATCAATTCACCGAGAACCAAAGGATCTCAGTCGGTTATTGTTCAGCACGTCACGACTGGACCCTATCT